CTATCAAACACGAACTCCAGTGCGACGAGATCGAATGGACTCGTTTCAAACTAAACGCGAGTTCTCTTCGGCTGCCGATGAATGCTCGATGCCTGTCTCACCACTACCCATGCAGCTGACCAATGATGTAGGAATCCAGCCTGGTCCCGGTGAATCTTAGAGCCTAAAAGGTTTGCGAGTTTGTCAATGGAATGTACAGCATCTGACAGACAGCAAGCTAGAAGAGATCCGAGCGATGTCGAGACGACCGATAAAATGACCAGGACAGAAACGCTATTCTGATTCTGTTGGGGGCCTTTAGCTGTCAAAAAGGCCCTGATTCATTCTAATGATAACAATAATAATAATAATAATAATAATAATGATGATAATAATAATGATATTAATAATAATCTTCTTATATAGCGCCGTTTCCCTAGTGAAACAACAACACTTTACAGTAGTGAATGATGTAACATTAAGAATAAAGCGTAATTAACAGTTAATGATTCTTACAATGAAAAATTTCTGATAGGTACGTCTTCAGAGTACATTTAAAAAACTCTGTTGACTTGCAACGTTTTATACTCAGTGGGAGGGTATTACACTAACGGGGTATTCCACTGTGGTATTCACGGATTCCAGCTTCATTCAAAGGATAAAATTGGAAAGTTACGCGGTGGAATTGTAGCCTATGTAAACAACTCCCTCAAGGCAAAGGGACGCGGAGACCTCAAATCTGACGACCTTGAAAGTCTATGGCTAGAGGTCTGCCCTAAAAATCGAAGCTGGCCTCTTTATTGGAGGTATTTACAGGCCTCCGTCCTTAGGTCAGCAGATGACTAGAAGCGCGGAAGAAACATGGAAAATGAGCGTTCTCTTAAAAAGAAAATTATTTTTACTAGGAGATATCAACATCAATTACTTATGCAATATGAAGTTTGGAACACATTCATTCATAAAAACACTTCCCAATCATCTATTGTGACGTTAAGAACATAGATAAAGAATATTTTCTGGCTGCTTTGAAAGAAGTGCCTTAGGATTGCGCTTTTGTTTTCGATGACCCCTTTGTCGTTGTCGACACGTGATATGAAATCCTAAGTGTGCTGTTGATAATTTTCTTCCCCTTAAACACAAGCGATTGGAGCGGAAAACCGAGCCCAAATAGTTTATTGACAACATCGCCGAATGAATCAAACCGCGTGATAAACTTCAAACCAAGCCAAAAAAAAAAAGACAGTGAAAGACTGCATGTGGCTACAGGCGAAGAACACTTTTTGTAACTATTGCTTATATACTGAGATTTATAAAAGTAACAATAATGAATAAAGTATAATATAAAAGCTAACTTTGTTTAAAAGAGATCTAGTTAACGATAACCATTACGATAAAACCTTGATAAACTTCTTAGAGCTATAACATATCAGTTGGAAAATAACCTACAATTATAACGATTGTTACAAGTTCTACTAGTGAAAATTTACCTATAAAATTTGATCTGCTTGGTGACCATTGCAAGTATACAAGTTTTCCTATCGGTGCGGCACATTGTAAAGGCGAGGGGTTCTTAAATTATAGCTTGACTCTTATGTAATGGTGGAAGTAAGCTGTTTAGC